GATTCCTTACACAGGTTCCTGAAAGCTGTTCTGATGTTAGCCTGCCTTGCATATGCTGCAGATGTAATTCTCTTTATGTGGGCTTCAGGAGACAGGTTTCGTGTGATGTCAACTCCTAGACATCACACTTTCTCTCTGCCCGTTTCATGAAGTACTTCATCTCCTATTCAGTATCCTGTGTCTGGCCTCCTGTGTCCATCGCCTAATTTCATTACCTTGCATTTACAGTACTTGGGGTGTAGTTTAGTAGCCATTTGTCAGCCCAATCATTCAGTCTGTCTAAGTCATCTTGTAATCTCCTCCTACTATCTTCCTCTGTTTTAATCCTCCTCATAATTTTTGCATCATCAGTAAACAGTGAGAGGAACCCTCTGGGAGCAATACCCTCTGGGAGATCATTCACATATATCAGAAACAGTATAGATCCAAGGACTGAACTCTGCGGAACTCCACTGGTGACGTTTCTCCAATCTGAGACCTCACCCCTCACCATGACTCGTTGTCTTCTGTTGCTTAGGTACTCCCTTATCCAATGGAGTACCTTTCCTTTCACTCCTGCCTGCATCTCCAGCTTTTTCACTAGCCTTTTGTATGGTGGTACTGTGTCAAAGGCTTTCTGGCAATCCAAAAATATGCAGTCTGCCCACCCCTCTCTTCTTTGCCTGATTTTTGTTGCATGGTCATAGAATTCAATTAATCCTGTGAGGCAGGACTTGCCATCCCTGAACCCATGTTGATGCTTTGTTACAAAATTCTTTCGCTTCAGATGTTCCACTAGCTTTCTTCGCACAATCTTCTCCATCAGCTTGTATGGTATGCAAGTTAGAGACACTGGCCTGTAGTTCAGTGCCTCTGAACTAAGTAGGTGGGTGTGGGTGCGCTTGGGGGTGGTTGAAACGCTGGTGTCTCTCAGGTGGGTTTTCCACCTGTTTCCAGTTCCGAAACGGGACCGTGTGGATCTGCGGTTCATTCTGGACTTGTCCCGTCCAAATCCCTGGGTTTTTTGCCTCTCCTTTCGGATGGCCACTCTGTCCCAGGTTTGGCTTCTGTTGGAGCCGGGTGCTGCGATGGTGTCCCTGGACCTCAAGGATGCTTATTGCCACGTCCTGGTTTATCTGGAGTTGTGGGATTGGCTCGGTTTTGTTGTGGGATGTCAGAATTACCACTTTCGTTGTCTCCCTTTCGGGTTGAACCAGGCACCTCGCGTGTTCATATGCCTTACCAGGGTCGTGGTGGCCCGGCTGCGTCTTCTAGGTATTCGGGTATTGGCTTACCTCGACGACTGGCTGGTCTGGGCTCCCAGTCGGTCCGCATGTCTGCTCGCCAGGGGTTTGGTGCTTTTCCCAGCTAGCCGGGCGCAGGTTCCTGGTGAGCTGGCAGAAGTCGCATCTGGCTCCCTCCCAGGTTCAGACGTGGCTGGGTCTTGTGTGGGACTTGCGGACCGCTTCCTTGTCTCTCCCTCTGGAGTCTGTCCTTCGGCTGTGGTCCCGCATGTGCTTGTTTCTGGAGGGCTCCTTGTGCTAGAGCCTGAACTTAGGGATGATGGTCTTCCTGTCGGGTTGGATTTGCTTCATCGGCTGTTCTGGTTCCTTCAGGAACATCCCTTCTGCCTCTGTCGTGATCGCTGGGTTCGTCCCTTGGGGGCCTTGCATCGGTTACTGTGTCACCGGCTTCCTCTTCAGGTTTTTTGGGGCTCAGTGCCTTGGCGCCTACCTGATTCCCATGCTCAATGTGTTCACAGACACGTAGTCTCTCAGCTGAGACTTTGTGACCAGTGCTCACAAGGCCGGCCAGGGGCGGTGGGGTCCGTCCTTCCGTTGGGCTCACAGCACGGTGCGGGAGTTCGCGGAGGTGTGCTTTTCGCTTCGGAAGGTTCGGGTCACCTGCGGATCGACGATCAAGCTTCATTCGGACTGCTCCCTGTTAGTTCATTGCCTGATCCAAAGGGGGTTCGATGCGGTCCTTGGCCCTTTGGGGCTGGTTGCTTCGGGTGACTTGTCTACTGCGTAATCGGAGTTTGACTCTCCTGGCGGTTCACGTCTGGGGGTGTCCAACATCCTGATGGACGCCCTGTCCTTGTTCATTCCTCTGACCACGGAATGGACTGTTGATGCAGACTCATTCGGGTGGCTCTGCCAGATGTTCGGGCACCAGAAGTGGACCTCTTCGCGTCGACGTAGTTAAGGCGTCTTCCGGTATATGTGGCGCCCTTTCCCGACCGTGAGGCTGTTGGAATTGATGCCTTCCGGCAGGACTGATCGAGGTGGGGGTTCCTGTACCTTTTTCCCCCTGTTCAGCTGTTGCTCGAGGTCCTTGCTCACTTGGAGACTTACCAAGCGAGAGTAGTCCTCTTGGCCCCATGGTTGCCGGCCCAGCCTTTGTTTCAGATGCTGCTTGCTCGGTGTTTGAACCCGGAGGTTTTCCGGGGCTCCGCCTCTTTCAACAGATCGGTCCGGTCTGTTACAAGACTGATTCGCTCTTCTCAAGTCTTCGAATTTGGTCTTTACTATCACCATCTATATGGTGATAAGGTGGCTTCTTTGATGGTGTCCCAGATGCGTGGCTATTCGGCAGCAGTATGAAGTTTCCTGGCGGTCCTTCCGTTTCTTCTGTCTCTTCGTCGCTGTACTGGTACTTCGCTCTCTGTTAGGGTTGTTTTGTCCTTTCTCTGCTGTCTGTTTCAGGACTGTTGTCTTATGCTGAATACTGTAGCCTCGTATCGTGCGGCGTTGGCAAAGCCGTTACAGCTTTCTTTTGGTATTGATGTTATTTCGGCACCGTTTTGCAGGCTGTCTTGAGCATTGTTTTGCAGGCATTATCTCGAACTGTCTCGAGCAAGACCAGCAGTCCTGGTCTTTGGACAGAGTGCTATTGTATTTGTCTTCGCCTCGGTTTGTTGTGGCAATTTCGGTTCAGGATTGTTTTTTCCACAGCTCTTTTTCTTGTTGGCATTGGCCTCTGGGGGTCAGGTTGGGGAGCTTCATGCTCTCCTCAGGCATAGGGGTTTCTGCTCTTTTGGTCTAGGTGATAGGTTTGTTCGTTTGCAGTCTTCTCCTTTTTTTCTGGCGAAGAATGAGACTGCTTCTTTCCGGAGGGGTCCTTGGGTTGTTAATGCTTGGTTTGTCATGCTGGGGGTGCATTATGTGTTGTGTCCGGTTACGGCCCTCCGCCTTATTTGCTTGCCATGGCCTCTGTGGCCGGAGATGCATTTTGGGTTGATCTGGTCTTCCTTCTTTCCTGTTCGCGGGTTTGGGTCTCTCGGGTCGTCTACAGAATTATTTGATCTAGCCAGCCTGTGGTCTATTCCTGTGCCCATGACGTTAAGTTTGCTGTGCTTGCCGGCCGTCTTTGGCAACATGTCCTGGGCTGACATTTGGGCACTAAGTTTTTGTCGGTCGAACAGGGTCCTGGCTGCACACTACCTTGTTAATGATCCTGGGCCTAGTCGGGCCTGTGTTGGTTTGGGTCAGCGGTTGCAGCCTGTTGTCTAGACTTCGAGTTTAGGTGCGAGCACCGGCAGCCTCCCGGGTAAGTCCCTCTAGTTTTCGTCTTTGGTGAAGTAGCTCCGGGGAGCCGAAGGGATCCCCCTAGAAAACCAGCATTGAATGTAATGAAACGCCATTTTCTGGGTGAGTCCCGGAGGCTTCCCGGCATCCCTCCCTCCTTCCCTCCGGTCAGCAGTTTTTCGAATGTTTTTGACATCCAGCTTCAGAACTGGTGAGGTGGATTGCCGGTGTAGGGGTCTGGGGATTCCCCTTCCCCCTCTCAGGGAGGAGGAAGCTGCGCAGAAAACTCACCTTTCTGGGTGCTTGTCCCGGTCGATGGTAGATATAGAATGCTCGAAATCACATGTGCATTTTCATAGGCCATTGCTCCTCGTGCCTCTCTGAGGGGGCCAAGTTCTGGTCGTGGTCCCCGGTAGGCCTAGAACATCATTCACAATGACTGATGCCAAAGTTTTAACGATATACACATCAGCCTGGATAGCTCTGGGGAGCCTCTGGGACTTGCCCAGAAAATGGTATTTCATTATATTCAACGCTGTTTTTTTTTGTCTTAGCCCCTTGGTCGCTTCTCTAGCAAGGGCTTTAGGGTCCACCCAAATCACTGCTAGCATGCCAGGCTCTGTGGACATCGAACCCCACCAAGACGAGCAGCTTTTCAGTTGCTTCTGTCTTTAGACCAATTGAATACTTGTTCCATAGTATTGGGGCAGAGACACTAATGAAGAGTATACTGTACCTCAATCCATCTCAGAGAGAGAGACCACTCTGACACCAAACAACAGTTCAAACCACTTTCACCTTCTAGAAATGATTTTTAGAACTGTGAAGATAGCTGAACTGCCAAAGTGTTTAATACAAATTTTAACTAGTAAGTTGCAGTTCTATCTGTGGATTCCATCATGTTGGCAGCCACATTGTCATCTTATCGTACATTGAATTTTTATAATCTAAACTTATGATCTATTCTTATTAAAACTGTGTGATTGTGTTTTTGAATAATTAAGTAAACATGTGAATAATGATAAAAGATGAGAAAAGTATTTACAGTTTGCATCCTGTAAATTAAAATGGACAAGTCAAAATGTGCCTCATGCCCATATTTTCTTGGTTGTACAGTATATTATATTGAATAGGTGATTTCTACAGCTTAAACTATTTATTTTGTGTAGCATAAAACCATTTGGCAAACTATGCTACATTCTAAGGTAAATACAATTTTAACAGTAATGTCTATTTATAGTAGTGTGGAAAAGTCTACAGTCTTCAGGTAGTCTGGATCTTCTATAGACAAGATCAGATCTGGCCCTATTTTATTTAGAGTTAAGCAACCACTGTACTGGCCTGTATTGCTAATAGTAAATTTGTCCTCTTCTTTGAAATGCCTTTTGAGATTAGAAAGCTTATAAATTAATGGGTTGTAGAATATTAATTTGGAATATTTAATGCATAGGTTACGGGATGTCCCTCATAAAATAACTCAAGGTCTTTTGATAGCCGGAACGGATAGACCCGCCCGACCCAACGAAGCCAGATTACGACATTCGTGCTGATGTTTGGAGTTTGGGCATCACACTGGTTGAACTTGCAACAGGCCAGTTTCCATACAAAGACTGTCGTAATGACTTTGAGGCAAGTTTAATTTATAGTGGTCTTACTGTATTTTTGTTTCTAGATATAGAAACATTCAAAGTTAAAAACCGTAAGAAAATTGTAATACCTGCCATTATGTAAAATGTTCTTTTGATCTCTTGATGTTGGTTTATATTTGTTAAAGCTAATTCTAGTCATATATCTTGAACATGTAGGTACTGACCAAGGTTCTCCAAGATGATCCACCCTCTCTTCCAAAAGATGGTACTTTTAGCCCAGAATTCTGTGAATTTGTAAATGATTGGTAAGTAAATCTGACCTCCTTATTTCTAATAATGAATAAGTGTTTGAATGAATCATGTGATACAAACACGCGAGAGAAATATTTGTTTTGCTAATCACTTAAAATTGCTGTGTTCAAAGTGTGTGAATTGTAAATGGATGATGGTGCTTCAGAGGGGCCCCAAGAGGGGCCAGGATAAATGTTGATACATTGGGTGAACAAATGTACCTCCTAATGTATCCCGGTCAAAAAATAGTCAGGGCAACACAAGAAGACTATAGAAATGCTAAAAATTAAAGTGGTACAAATGAAAATTCATTAGTAAGGTAATAAAGTATTTACGACAATGCATACTATTCTCTCATTTCATGAAATGAGAGATAAATTACATAAAGGTTTTGTATTGCAGCCTTATTAAGGAATATCGTCACCGCCCAAAGTACAAGAAACTTCTCGACTATTCCTTCATTAAGAAGTATGAGCAAAAGAAGGTCGACGTTTCAACATGGTTTGGAGGTATGTGGTCATGGTGATGTTTAGAATGTTAGCCTAGATACATACTCTAACTCTCTTGTAGAGGCTTGCATGGGGCTGCTTCTATTGTGCCAAAGAATCTGTTAATTTGGTATGTTTTATAGAGTTTGAGCATGTAATGTATATCTAAGAACAGTGGACAGATTTGGGATTTTTCCATCCATGGTATTGTGGTGCTCACACATTTTATATTTTCTTTGGCATTTTATAGGTCCATATACTATTTTTGCTGCCATTAATCAGGGTTCGTTGAAATTTAGCCTTAAGTTCTGTAAAATATTGAAACTGTGTACTTCAGTCTTCAAGGAAGCTGTCCCAGCTCATTCTGTTCAATTAGATATCTCTGGGTTATGCTAAAATCACTATCTTGGCATCTTCATAATGCAAATGAATTACTTGTTCATTTACAGAGGTGTGCCACGTGATGGATGCTAAAGCTCGGAACTCCCCGCAAAGAGTAAGTATGTTTTCCTCCCCGCTACTACCCCGAGCTTCGCGGTCCAGCAGCCGGCCACCAAGTGCTCCCAGTAGTAGTGGAGGAGGGGGAGGGGTAGGAGGAGGTGGTGGTGTTAATGGTGGTGTTAGTAGCGGGAATGAATGCGGACCTCCACCTCCCCCCGTGGCACCAAGACGACGGAGTCGCACTCCCGAGGCTCATAGCCATGATCGTGTCAACCATCCATCACCTCAACAATTACAACACCTTCAGCAACAAAAACAAAGTGAACTACAAAAACATCAACAACTGGAGCAACAACAGCAACAGTCAACGCAACAGCAACAACTACAAAAGCAGCAGCAGAATGGTGGTGGTGTTAGTAGTCCTAGCAGAAACTCTGGTGGCAACAGCTGCAGCAATGGTGGCAGTGGTGTGGTTAGTCGGTCTCAGCTTCCAGCCTCTCCCAATCTGACCCGCGCCGTATCTGCTTCACCATCACGTTCTGGGCCCCCATTGTCCCCCGCTCCCTCCAGGGCATACTCAGCATCACCCTTGCAAAGATCTGTGCCCCCTTCTTCTGCACCCCCCCATTCATACCCTGGAGTTACTCAAATGGGATCTTTTTCCCAACCCCCTTCATCAGCCCAACATCAGTATAGTGTTCCATTAACTACACAAACTTTTTCCCCATTTAATTATTCCCCCAGGCCTTATACACAGGTTTATAGCCAATATTCAAATCCATACAACCAGGTGTTACCTCCACGTTCAAGTCATAATAGTTTTTATAATAATGTGTCTGGAAATGGTAGGGAGAGTGGAGATAACCACAGTAGTAGTAGCAGTAGTCATCATTCATCAAGCTCAGGAAGCACCAGTACAACAAATATGTCCGGAGGTGGGATGGGCACGAGCGGGTCTGTGCGGGAGATGGCCAGCAGCTGGCCTACGCCCAGTCACTTGGTCAACCTTAGTACGGGGCAGCGAGAGGCCTGGGGAAGCAGTGGCAGTAGTCAAGGGGGGGCGGCTACCACTACCTCGGTCACTCACACACCCACCATGCACAGGAAAACTCCCGAGCCAGTAAGGTAGGTCCCCTTGCATCTCTTTCTTCCTCTCTGTCTCTCTTTCTTGCTGAATTTCTGTGCTAGGGAATTTCACATATTTAACTGCTACGATACTTGTTTTTTATATAAAGTAATTAATTATTATTTGGTTAATATCGAACCTAGTGCTGGTCTAGCTGGAAAAATTTATAAACTGCATATTGCTAATTATGGTTATCTTGCTCAGTGATGTGTATGAGACATTTATAGAGTATGTAGCACATTCCTGTTGGAGTATACATATGGCTGGTTCTTAAATTGGAAATTACATATCTGATTAATCATAACTAACTAAACTTTGAGAAATTTTATTTAATGGTTTGACAAAAAAAATTCTCATCTTACCAAGATGTCAAAATTAATATAAATTTTATATTACAGTAAAAGCTTCTCAAAGATCTGTAGTTCAGTAGAATTTTCATGTTATGGCAAATTTAAACTTAGCTTACAAAAGAAGTTGAGAAACAAGTGCAGGAAAGTATGTGATGATCTCTAGAGAGCTTCCTCACTGATTGATGAAATGAAAGAAAGATCTATGTAACCCCTCCCCCTTCTTCCCTGAATAAACTCAACTACAGAGAATTCTTCTTACCATTTTTTTCATTCATGTTCCAATATTTTGTAATGTTCCAATATTTTGTAATTTTGGTTTGGAAAATTAGGGAAAATCAGTTACACAATGATTGAAGAATTCTCTTTAGTCCTATTAACCCTCTCTTGATAACTTCAATTAATCAAATACTAATAATTTTCCTATGCATGACTGGTTTATATTGAATTCATATATTTTTTTATATAATTCAAATATATATTAAACATAGATGGAAAACCATTCATGTTGTCTGCTTGAGTGCTAATGAGTTAAGGATTTAAAGGGTACACTTGTCATGGTAGTGTACAAGGGAGACTTTACAAATATCACTTGACAGCTGAGGATCACCCCTTAATCAGTCATGCCTTTCATCTGGTGGTGTTAATCACTGCACTTCATATGACATTTTTGTTTGATCATTCAGTTTGTATTAATGAATACTAAGGTTTGTTGTATTATACTGGAAGTTGAGATAAGACCATGGCAGCAGGAGAGGCTGCACATTAGTCATCACACACTTGCTACTCGTATAAATATCCCGTTAATTCACACATAATCCTGTTAAAGTTTAGTCTGGTATTTGTTGCAAGATGAAAGTCATGTATAAGGTGGTGATGGCTATTGTCTTGCTTGTTTGCTAACACAGGTATACAGTGTGTATCACTCTCGTGCTCCTTCCTCTCGCTCTTCCTCACCTACGTAACACTATAATACACTCACAAATTTCAGTGCATTTTAAAAATGCAACAAATTTATTTTATGGTTTTAAAGTTTTTAAATGCTTAGTCTAGTATATTCTTAGGTTGTCCAAGTTCTTTATTAATATCGTTATTCCATTTGGAGAGAAGTGACACTGCTCTATGATGTACAATGATGCTGAGACGAAACCTTTATCTGATGACATTTATATAATACAGTGAACTCTTATGTAACACATATTTGTATACCACACTTTTAACATAACACCAGTGTTATTTAGTGAGCAGCTATACTGTATATATATATTACATTATTTGTTTATGACACACTACTACATACTCACTGTCGACTCGAGCAAAGACAACTTAGGACCTGACTTCCTTCACAGTCCATGTCCACCCACGCACATTCTCACTTAACCTACCCTCATACATACCCACCTACTCTCACACATGGGCAAGCTTTTTTTCACCTGATGCCTCTGTTCTCCTAGCAGTAAATAGATACCTGGGAGATGCAGCTGCTATGGGCTGCATCCTGGGTGTGGGTGTGTGTGTGTAATTGCCTAAGTGTGGTTACAGGATGAGAGCTACGGTTGTGGTGACCCCGTCTTTCCCGTACTCTTTGTTGTATTAAAAAGAGGTATGACAGAATCATTAGTGGAAGCTAGATTTGCAAATGAATCGGATGTGAGCAAGTTTTCGTTCTCTGTATGGATGATCGGCAAGTGGAATGTATTAAAATAAAAAGTTGTTGACGCCAGTTCCGTCCACAGCTTTAAGAAAAAAATATGATGAAAATTTTAGCTTTGAGAGAGGAAATTAGTGGGTTAGGTATAAAATGGCTATGAGGCTGGGCAAAAAGAGCAAGATCTCGCTTTCCTGTAGTCACTGATAGGCAAGAGGCATCAGGAGTAATTGTGTATGAACCTCTCATCTTGCATAGGAATCAAACCCAAGATGTAATGTGTTCCTTTGGCATTAGATTTGTAGTTACAGCAGGCCTACTTCCAGGTCTAGTTCCTTTGCAGTAAATTAGGAAGTATGTAATGATCAGTTTTTAAAATTAACATTAAGAAGGAGGCGGCCATAATTTGAAGCTAAATAATATAAGATGGCAAAAAATGTACATGAATTGTTCTTTACAAACAATTTGGCAGCTGGATGGAATATTTTAAATGAAAGGGTAGTGTGTTCCAAAATTATTGGATGCATCAAGGCTTCATATGACAAAGATTATAGGGAAGATGGGACACCATCAGCATATCTCCAATTAACTACCCTTTGGCAATTACTTTTAGGTAATTATCACTGAAACTTGGTCATGAGTGCAACATTCACTACAATCATAGCCACCACCACAATAATCAGTACAATAACTTCTGCAACCACCACATCTGCCACCATAAACATTTTACAAAAACACTAATCCTAATGAAAGGTCAAAGAAACAAAGGAAGACAATGACATAGAAACTAAGCATAGAAACTAGCATTGGGTAGGTATGGCAAAGGTAAATGAGCAAAAAATTACCAATCATCTTTCCCAGTACCGTAGAAACGTAACCCTTATTTTTAACACTAATCCTTAACGTTTTCCGTTTCACTTAACGTCATTTCAGTTAAAGTTTTCAAGACCCCTAACTCCGACGGTATGAGGTTCACCTGTAACTGTATTTTATACTTGAGATCAAAATTAGCAGGAGAGACAAAGTGTCACCAGAAAGTCAATGAAACATACAGTAATTACTGTAAGATTAAGCACAAGAATTATAATTATCCTCAGCATTCATTCATACATTATGGAGCAGTAGCTCAAGCCAAGTAAGGTGACATGGTCTTATATAGTGGGGGGGGGGGGAGCATTGCCTTGAATACAGTGCCATTTGGAGGTGGTGCCAGGTTGCCATATTGAGCTTAATGAAGGTACCATAGGTGATGGTGCAAGAGGTAATTAACATACAGCAGTAGGCAATAACAATTTAAACAGTTTAACCAAGCATAATTTTCTATAAAATTATTCTTTGGTTTTGTTCATTTTCTGCTATACATGTGTGTGTATGGTGCAGTTAAATGTGAATGTAGTAAGCAATATAGGGAGAAGGAACACTGGGATAAACCAAGAGATGACACGTGAGAGGATGTGTAGCTTGTGTACCAGTTCTTGTAGTGTGGGGGGAAGTGAGGCTGTGGTGCTGTGTTCTAACCTTCTGCAAACATGTTTATAATTGTAGCGCTTACAGCACTACGTGTTGTCTGTGGCTATTATTTAAGCCTACTATGCCAGGTGTTGAGCATGATGCTGTTGACTATGCAGTAGTTATTTCCATGAATATTTCCCTCATTTATTAGCATTTCATTCTCATACTTTTGTTTGAACCCAAAAATTCTGTGGTTGAACCCAAAAAATTCTGTCTATTGGCCAAGAATTTCATTCTGACTTTTGCAGGTTCAAGTTTTTGCTGTTGTTTAATTAAGGCTTTTATTGAGATGACAACAATTCTCTACAAATGGCTGTGTTTTAAGTGTGCATGTGAGACATTAGCTAGGTGTTCTTTCCTGCCAAGTGGTATATTATTACAAAGTTTGAACTAAATGGTGATTACGTCACACCAGACACTATAACAGTAGAGCATTGTGGCATGAAACAATAACTTGCATGTGTTGGATGTTTCCTTGAGAAATAGTGCATTAGAACCTTGTGTTAACAACTTTACACACTAACAACAAATTATTGATCAATTACTAATTAGCCTATTGAATTGAAAATGCATTTTGGAATGTTTTTAAACTAATGCCTACAAATTATTTTTTATAAATGTTTTAAGTTAAGTAATTTAAGTAAGTAATTATTTTAGATAAGTAACATTTGAAGAGATGATAATTTTTTAACCATTGGACATATTTAATTTGACTGAATGAGTAAAAAGATGATTTAGTGAAATATTTCATTTATCATGAAAAGATAAAGTGAATGGATCACTCAAGACCAACTGTGATAACTCAAGTTAATAAAGTTGGAATATTTTGTACATCATACAATGAAAGGCTACTAGAGACTTGGATTGCCCAATGCATCAAAATTATTGTCTAACTAGATTATTATTTAAGTTATTTGTTTCAGTGTAGACTTTAGAGAAAAGTCGGATTTTTAGAATGTAGAGTACGTACAGTATATTCAAAAGTATATTTGAACTTCTAATTGAAAGCCTAAGACAAGGTTCTAACTTAGTCGTGGTTTGCTGGTGTAGTTTACTTGTGGGGCTTGCTGGGAGCTGTTGGAACATTTCCAGTGCTTGCTGAGACGAACCCAGAGTCTGAGTTTGACATTTGAATGCCTTCGTTATTCATTACAGTGTTTTATCTAAATCATCTTGATTTCTATAATTGGATTTGAATGATCACAGCAAAATAGTTACAATTTTTCTTGTGAAAGTCTTATGAATACTGAAGGCATGCAAATGAGTGTACCCCAGGCCAAAGCTTTCCATATGAACAAGAGTTAACAGTTAAAAGTGCTTGTTGTAGCCATGCAATAATGGTTTACAGTTGTTGTAACTTTAGCAATTGGTATTATTTATTAATGGCAGGGCTGTATTTGAGTTATTTTGCAAGTGCATATTGATATTGAGTATTTGTTGATGTGTGTTCATGACCAGTAGATACTTTTGTTGAATTGGAAAATGTTGTTTG